TTTTTCATTTTTTACTTTCCACAAACAATGTAAATAGAACAAAATTAATCGCACGTGAATGTCAAACTCGATAATTTACCACTGCAATATCAATAATTTAATTACCCCGTGTATTATCAGACGCTTCTTGCATTTCAATTCAAATTAAAGTTGGACTTTGTATTTAATTAGTAAATAATAAATAGACCGTGAATTTCATGCTGTTCGGATATATCCTGGTACGACAAAGCAATATGTTAAACGTATACAAAAAATGTACACTCAAGCAAATGAAATGTTATTTCAATTATTTCTGAAACATATTCGCATACACTTCACATTTATATTACCATCCATGGTTTAATAACGCGTATCGGATGGAAAATAAATGTGTAAAACATCGATTCAGGTCCCCGAGATCGTGCGTCCATTCTAATCATTTTAATGTCGCTGATTAAGAAAACAATGAAAAGGCCAGAAATTAAATAACAAGCATTTCTTCCTTGCCTTCCATGAATTATTCAAGTAATTGCTTTACTCTACGTTCTAATTAAATTTCCTTTTTTGCTACTTGTTTTTTCCCGTTTTCCCCTCCAAGATTTTCGGTTTCTTGTTGCATTTAAATATTTTCTCATCGTTTGCATTCCTCTTTTGCTTCTTGATTAAGCGATTTCCTCGCGTCGAGCTTTATTTAAACATCTCTTTCTCGCCAGGGTGTATTTTCCTTCTGTCCTTTGTCCTCGAGCGGCTCGTTTCTTCCCCCGTAATACGCCAAAGCTCTGTTTGTTTCGTTCCTACGGTTTCCTTCAAAAATATTTCAAAGTTCACCCGGACTTTACTTTCCTTTGTGCTTCGTTTAAATACCTCTCTAAATTGTTGAAACAGCTGAAATCGTAATCAAGACCGAGAAAATTACTTCGTTTGCAACGACGTAACCGACATATAATATTTACGATCGAGTAATGAAAAACAGCATTTTCAAGCGTTTTGATCTTGAACGATATAATTAAACATATTTTTCGTTGCACCGCGGTTAACCACATATACATTCATTTGCCGGCTCCTGTTTGTACGTTCCCTCTCCGTTTAATATTTCCCTTTAATTTTCCGTTTTTTCCTTTCCCGCAACGTTCCCGTTAAAACTTTATACGTGCTCTTACCGATGTAGATTTTCACCACGATTCTACAATACGTTGCTCTTTTATAATAGAAAATTCAAATTAATTCTCTAAGGGAAATTATACCTCTCAGGTTATCAGAATTTCCAAGTTGATTAGAAATTTTAAACGCAACAACGAGACGCGAGTAAATGTATCTGCGGAGTATAGAAACGATCCAGCGAGCCGTTTCGAACGAAAAGAACTGTTAAACGAGGGGATTTGTGGGGCTCGAAAACACGGAGGGAATTTCGATTCGAATTAGAAAATATCACGACGCGGATGACGCGACGAGGGTGATATTCGGGGATTCATGGCCGTGCCGTGAAAATGCACAATGCCGGTATAAAATGCAGTTTATTCCGCCAAAGTGGTTTCAGGTTTTGCGCGTTTTAGCGCGCCGCACCGTCGAGGGTCGTTTTTACGTTGCACGCGTGTCCCACGCGGCTGATCATAAATGTTTTTGGCTCCCCGGACGCGCCGCGAAAAATCTACTGGGGGGAAAAAAGCTTTCCCCGCAATTTTTTCGCCGGTCGAGTTTCAAAGGGCGGCAAATTTTCCCGCGAAAGAGAATTTATTATCGCGATCAAGACGCGAATACGAACACCAGAAAACCCTATATAGTGTAATGACTAGCGTAGTAGAGGAAGCTAGCGTAAGTTCGGTAGATCGAGATGAGGGCGCTGCGAGCAGTCGTCAGAGACACGCAGTTTCGTCGTCTCCCGTGTCGCGGACTAGAATAAAGTAGTTTTAAGGTTAACCAAGTGTTTCTTATGATTTCACCGATCTCCTTCATCCCCGGCCACCTACTACACCTAATACGCGGAATTTCTACAAGAACACTATGATTTTTAAGGTGAATTCTAGAAAATAATTAAGGTGTAATAGATGTTGGAAAAGTAATATATGGATCTGGAGAAAATAGTTTATTTTTATCGTAAATAAGATATTACAGTGTAACGCACGTAAATATGGCGAAATTTGTGTAAGAACAGTCTTTTAAATTTGCTTCAGAGAATTAAATTGAGAAATTAGTAACTGGTTCTACCACCCTTGTTCTTAATTATTTCAAATATTCTGTTTTTCATACTATTAATTAGTTCCTGTAATGTTGTTTTTTGAGTGTTATTCCATTCGTATCTTATTGGACTCTCTAGCTCTTTAATATTATTGTATTGTTTCCCATTTTTATACAGGGAGTCTCAGCCGATTTTGACATGTTGTATTCCTCGGTATTCTGACACGTAGCAAAAAATGTTTCGTAGGGAACTTAAATGGTATCGAGTGGAGCATATTTTTGTGTTATTAATTTTTTCATAGGCGGACACGTCAAGGATATATGAAGATCAACTTTGTCTTTTTTTTAAATGGAGTGAGGTACTTTTTTATGCATCAAACGATGCTACTAAGCATTCGTTATAAAAAAGTACTGACCTATGTATGTCTAAAAGCAAGTAGTTTAGAAGATATTTCAATTTAAATAATTCTGAAATTCTTACTGACATTAGCGTTTATTTACAGATATGGGTCAATATAACGACCATTTTCATCACAGCATTTTAATGGGGGATTCTAGAGGTCAAAATAAGACGAAAATCTAGAATACCAATTTGTCGATGGAGGCTTCGTTAAAAAGTTATTAACAATTAAATTCAAAAATTTCAAATCGTTCTGAAAAAATTATTTTCGATTGCGAGGGTCAATAGCAATCATTTTTTGTCATTACACATACCCTCGAATTCCTACCCACTTTCTAGAAAAAAATTCGAAAAGGTGCGGAATTTTCCATGGGGGAAAAAAATGTCAAATCGTTTTGGAAAAATTATTTTCGATTGCAGGAGTCAATTACAATCATTTTTGGTCATTACACATACCCTCGAATTCCTACTCACTTTCTAGCAAAAAAATTCGAAAAGGTGCGGAATTTTCCATAGGGGGAAAAAATGTCAAATCGTTTTGGAAAAATTATTTTCGATTGGAGAAGTCAATAGCAATCATTTTTGGCCAATAAACATACCCTCGAAATCCTACCCACTTTTTAGAAAAAAATTCGAAGAGATGTGAAATTTTTCGACGGGGAAAAAAATTTCAAATCGTTTTGGAAAAATTATTTTCGATTGCAGGAGTCAATTACAATCATTTTTGGTCATTACACATAACCTCGAAATCCTACTCACTTTCTAGAAAAAAATTCGAAGAGATGTGACATTTTTCGACGGGGAAAAAAATTTCAAATCGTTTTGGAAAAATTATTTTCGATTGCAGGAGTCAATTACAATCATTTTTAGTCATTACACATACCCTCGAAATCCTACTCACTTTCTAGAAAAAAATTCGAAGAGATGTGACATTTTTCGACGGGGAAAAAAATTTCAAATCGTTTTGGAAAAATTATTTTCGATTGCAGGAGTCAATTACAATCATTTTTGGTCATTACACATACCCTCGAAATCCTACTCACTTTCTAGAAAAAAATTCGAAAACGTGAAATTTTTCGACGGGGAAAAAAAATTTCAAATCGTTCTGAAAAAATTATTTTCTGTTGCGGGGGTCAATTACAATCAATTTTAGTGAATAGACATACCCCCGAAATCCTGCGTATTTTCGAGAAAAAAATTCAGTACGTGCAGAACTTTGAACGTTAATAACTTTTTAACGAAGCCTCCATCGACAAATTGGTATTCTTGACTTTCGTCTTATTTTGGCCTCTAGAATCTTCCATTAAAATTTTTCCCAGGGGTGGCTGGACACCCTGTATAACACACTACTATCAGTCAGTGTAGTTGAAACTTTCGCGTAAATGTGGCAAAATATCAGCCGATACATTAAATAACGTAGGCCAGTCTTTACTTCATCGGTTTAAAAAATGCTGTGATACTAATAAACGCTAATGTCAGTACGAATTTTAAAATTATTTAAATTGAAATACCTCCTAAATTACTTACTTCTCGACATACATAGGCCACTACTTTTTTATAAAGAGTGCCTAGCTGCATCGTTTGATGCATAAAAAAGCACCTCATACCATTTAAAAAAAACAAAGTTGACCTTCATATATCCTTGACGATACCATTTAAGTTCCCTATGAAATATTTTTTGCTATATGCCAGAACACCCTGTATAACGCACCTGATTAAATTCCCGAGGTAATGCGTGCATCAATTTTATTTCCAATCTTACACGAGCAAACAATAGTCGATATACGTTACAGTTATAGAAATTGCAAAGAAGAAACTGAAAGAACTATTTAAACCTTTAAAAAAGACATTTTCTCGAATCATAATAACCTTAAGATATGAATCAGACTGCACATACAATACCTTCTCTGCTCGACAGTTTCGTAATTCTTTGCTAATTCGTAAAACTGTACGATTCGATGGAATTTGGTTCTAAAATCAGTATCGATAAAACCGTGGTTCCGGCGCATTAAGTCCCAGGACGGGATTCGAGGCTACGTGGCCACAAATTTTTGTCGGATTAAGAGCGTACGTTGAATCGGGGGGGGGGACGGCGCGACGAGAAACGATCCCATTGTCGTCGAGAAAGTTTGGACCGACTGCAGATTCTCCGGGACGAATGCAATCCCCGAAGTTCTGATTTCCTATTTAACGAACAACCCTCGAGTTTCGATAATGTGTCTGTTTCTTGCACAAACTGTGTCACGGACGGGGCCGAAAGCGAGGCGGCGGGGTAGGAAAGCCGAGTGAAACTCGGAGGGACAATTAAAAATTCTATCGTCGCGAATGAATCAGCGAGTTGTAAAGAACGCGAACCTTTAAAATATATTTAACACGCCGATTCTTTCTATCTTGTTCCTTTATTGTTACGACTACGGTTTATATAGCTTCGTTTCTTTTGTTGCAGGTGGTGAGAGCCGCGAGTCCAGTTCTCCTACGCGTCATCGTGCTGGGAGCATTTTTCATATACTGCACAGTAAGTGCCTTCCTTCTTATTTTTCCTCGTGACTTTAAAAGCACCTTCGCCGCTGAAAGGCGCTTTCCGTGACTCGGGTGGATTTCCGTGACTTGAAATAATCTCGCGAGAGATAGAAAATATCTTCTCCGAGATCTGGAAAAATTTCACGCACACCTCCCTCGTGATGGGCACGAGTTATTTCTTTTTTTTTTATCCGCGTCGAGTATCAATTTTCCCTTTGCCTCGGTGCTTTGAGGATTGAAAATTATTTCGCGGCCGGTGCAATGACTCGAACCGTCGGTATTGCTCGCGGGCTATCAGTCGCAGTCAACGAGGTATCAAAATCGTTTCGTGGTAACTGGCGTTAGTGTCGTGCTCGATTTCGGATAATTGGATTACGATAATAGAAATGGAAATGAATATCACGCCGGCAGATCGTTAGCGGCAGTGGTTTCGTTTCCACGAATTTGGGGACAATGTATCACCTTTGGTATTCGACGCTTTGCAATCTCGCGGTTCGGTGAAATACATTGCATTATCTGGCTATTTGCGTCCGGCGGTAATGTCTTCTCGATCGTTCGCATACATAACGACTTTTACGAGCGCTAATCGCGAATAAATCGCTTCGTTTCCCATGAAAATGCTTGGACTTGGATTTGGTAATTAATTCGATCGTACAAAGGTGCAAGCTTTTGTGTTTTTTACGCGTTAGACGACGATTGTGCGTTTCGTAATTGAATATCGATAAATTATTTCCGGTTTATTGAGAAATTATTTTATAAATTTTTAACGAGCGCTGCTTCGAAGCTCCGACTAGCAGAAAGACGTATTATTAAAATATTTTATTACGCTCGTTGAAGTCTAAATTGATTGATATATTTATTCGTATAATATTTGTTGGAATTGTGTCGAGAAAGCTTGCGACTCTTTTTAGAATTTAGTTGTTATTCGATGAATTTAAAAAAAATTTCTTCTCGTATTTTTCAAGCTTCCTCGGACCTTAAATTCTCATTCTTGGTACTGGCGTTATGGTCGTGCTATTTCTCTTGTCGCGCGGCATTCGTGCATTCGCCGTCAAAGAAAATTCAGTTGCACGTAAAGGAAATCCGTTGGAAGAAAATCGAGTTCGCAGTAAACATATTTCAGCAGCCGGCGGTGAATTATAAATGGCTGAAGGAAATCAATGTTCTTTGTTTCAGACGATAGTAATGTACCCCCGTCCAAACGTCATAACGTGCACGGTACGAGTTTGGCTGCGAGAAATTGGATTTTCTCTAACCTATGGCGCACTTATGCTCAAAACTTGGAGGTAAGTAAGAATAGCTACGTCTACAACGACATTTAACTCCATCGCGATGCGAGATCCCACCATATATTAGGTGCCTCACGGAAGTGGGTCGAATCTTTGCACTAAAGCAGAAAGCGAACGGGATTTCTCCGAAATTTTTAATTACTTTTATCTCGATTCAAACATTCCTCTCAAAATTATTGTTTACAGCGTTCTTGGAAGTATCTTATTATCTTTCGTGTCTAAACAATTGTACATTCATTAATACAAATAGTACAATTTTTTAATCTTCTTACGTTCTCATTAAAAATTTCATATGTTTTCACTCCTACCATATATTAGGTGTCTCACAAAAGTGGGTCGAACCTTTGTATTAAAACAGCAGAAAGCGAATGAAATTTCTTCGAAATTTTTAATTACTTGTGCTACTGCTCCGTTGAGAGTAGGATCTCGTGGTACAGAACAGTAGGTGTATCAATAGCTTTTTCACCCATTTTAAATTTTAATGAGAGATTCTAGAGGCCAAAATAAGACGAAAATCAAAAATATTAATTTGTTGATGGAGGCTTCGTTAAAAAGTTATTAATGTTTAAACTTCCGTCCGTACTAAATTTTTTTCTAGAATGTGGGTAGAATTTCGGGGGTAGGTCTATTCACCAAAAATTATTGTAATTGACCCCCGCAACTGCAAATAATTTTTCCAGAATGATTTGAAATTTTTTAATTTTGTCGAAAAATTTCAGACTTCGAATTTTTTTCTCGAAAATGGGTAGGATTTCGAGGGTATATCTAATGATCAAATATGATTGTAATTGACTCCTGCAACCGAAAATAATTTTTCCAGAACGATTTGAAATTTTTTATTTCGCCAAAAAATTTAGGTACTACCCCTGTCGATTTTTCTTAAAAATTCCTTTTTCATTTTTAATAAATTTGTTTGGCGTTCTACAGAAAAGTTGTCTAATACTTTTTTGTAGGTACCCTTGGGCTCTGCTTCAGAAAAAAGTTTCAAAGAGATACCTTTACTATTGTAGGAGTTATGATCGTTTGAAAATTGGACCAGTTTTAGGGGGTTTTTCTCACTTTACGGTGTCAAGGAACAACTTTCCGAATATTCTTGGAATTTCTACTTGTTGTTCACCAAAATACGCATTGTTTGCCTTTTGAAACATTAAAATCCTCCGAGCCGTTCAGAAGTTATGATATTTTAAACATATGCATGAAATTTCAGTGAAACATATCAATGTATGGTCAGACATTATATTTTCGGAAAAGAATTTTTTTCTCGAAACTGTGTAGGATTTCGGGGGTATGTGTTATGACCAAAAATGATTGTAATTGATCCCCGCAACCGAAAATAATTTTTCAAGAATGATTTGAAATTTTTCTTTCCACCGAAAAATTTGTCCAACTTTCTAAATTTTTTTTTTGAAAGTGCGTGGGATTCCGGGGGTATGTGTATTCACTAAAAATGATTGCTATAGACCCCCGCAACTAAAAATAATTTTTTCAGGACAATTTGAAATTTTTTAGAAGTTAAAAAATTTCAGTACCTACTCGAAGTTTTTCTCGAAAGTGGGTAGGATTTCAGGGATATGTGTATTCATAAAAAATGATTGTAATTGAGCCCCGCAACCAAAAATAATTTTTTCAAATTGATTTGACATTTTTTAATTTAATTTTTTAATAACTTTTTAATGAAGCCTCAGTCAAGAAATTGAAATTCTTGATTTTATTATTCTTACTTTTATCTCGATTCAAAAATTTATCTTAAAATTATTTTTTACAACGTTCTTGGAAATATCTTATTATCTTTCGTATTTAAAAAATTGTCCTTTGATCTACTAATACAAATAGTACAATTTTTTAATCTTCCTACGTTTTCATTAAAAACCTCACCGTGAATTTTCCGAATATGCAATCGATTTTAAACGCTCGAAGTGTATACGTACAAAGTAATAAGATTTTTCAATACTTCGATATTTTCCCGTGGCACTATTACAACCCGCGGCAGTAATTCAACGTCCTCGAAGGAACTCCGATTAAAAATAAGAAATAAAACGAAAGATACTGGAAAAGTCGCGAATCTAATTTTAGATTGTCCCCGGTGTCGGTGTAAATTGTTTAACCTTTCCGTTTCCAGACAAACGAACGAGAGATGGAAACGGAAGTGGAGAGAATATATATTATCGCGCGACGGAAATGCAAAAACGATTGGCAATTGTTTCCCCATCTTGTCTCGCGTTTGCTTAATTAATTCCGAACGCCTGGAATTCGCTGGCGAACTTGCAGCTAATTGAACGTCCGCGAAAGTTTCGTCGAAAAGTTGAACGATTTTTCATTCTACGATCGAAAGTACTTTCTAAACATTCCGAGCTGAATTATTATCGCGTCTACGCGTCCGTGTCCGTGTCCGTGGATTTTATGCAATATTTCCGGACGAGAATCTATGAAACGCGATACGAAAACGCGAAACGGAGATGCACGCTTTGATTTACATGTATTAAAAGGGTACGTTCGCAGTCATTATTCTATTTGAAGTTTCTTTGGACGACTAATAGGAAAACGAAAAAGAAACTCGTTAAATGTGTCGTCGTCTCTCGCGACTTCAAAAAGGTAACTTTGATACGGAAATATTTTCACTGGCTGCGGATGTCGTCTCGCGAGATCGAACAAATATTCCGCGTATTTTTCTTCGCGACTCGAAAAGTTGTTACGAAACTTTAAAAGGCTTTCCGCTACTTAAAAATGTCGGTTACTACGTTCGAGCTCTCCGCCGTGTTGGAACGTGTGCGATATTTTCTTTTGAAAAACACGTGCTGGCACATCAAACCGAAGCGTTTCGTGCCATTTAAATGTACTTGGAAAGGCACTGTACGACGGGGTTTTTACGCAATGTATTCCGTGGCGTTTGTCGGATCCGCGGATGCAACTCCGTCAAAGGGAAACGCTTTCCCCGAGGTCTCGTAAACGCGAAGCAGAATCGAGAAGCTTATCCCTGTAACGTCTTAAATACTACAGAAAAGAATTACGGATTTTCCGACGGGCACCATTTCTGGATATCAAAGCGCAATTTTCTCTTTGCCGTGTCCGCTTTTAGCTTTAAAACCGACGAACGAATTTAATAAATTGCACGCCGCGTCCTTCGAGTGATTTTAAATGGGGAGATACGCGCAATTGTGTGCGCGAGGCTGTGTGAAATCGCGTTGTCTTTAAACAACCGGAGTGAACTCGCCGGCAAGCGTATCGCTGTTGGCCACCTGCCATTTCCGAAGTCCGTCGCTTGCTGGTCCGAAAGCAATCTTGAATTTTAACGTAAATTCCGCCTTGGGGGACCCATAGAAACGAGTTAAGTCGCGCTTGTCCGAAAGAAGCTTAAAAATATACGAAAACACCAGCATGTTGTGCGAGAAAACAGTTTTCCACTCGTTTCCATTTTTTTTTATCAAAGTTTTCTGGGGGTTCTATTTAAATTATTTATTTCACGGTTGTTAGGTGTGTTAGTAATTATAGGTTATAGACACGTTCTTCCAGTTCGGTACTTAGGAAACTTTACACGGCTCTTCTCGCACAACCGCGACAACAGCATTATTTTCCCCCGTTTTCTTTCTTTTCTGTACGACTGCCCTCGTCGTGGGAGTATATCCAACGGTATCAATCCGAATGCAGCGGAGTGAAACGCCAAGAAAGGAGGTTCAAACTTTTCAGGCGAGCACTGGTCAACCAGTGTGCAACTTCGGTTTACTCTTCTTTCTCCGATCTCCATCGCGGAGATCGCTATTTTCTACCAGTTGCAGGATTTCCGACGCTACAAAGATTCCGAGACAGAGATTGCCCCGATCTTCTATACCACCTATCCCTGATTCTCCTGTTTCGTTTTCTATCCCGATATGGTCGCGGAACAAAAAGTTCAGTCTAGCGTTGCCCGTTGAATCCATAAGTCGGTTAGATATTCTTCATCGGATAAAAGCTGTCTGAAAAAGTACGATATTCAATAATAAAATAAACCCAAACTCCTCGCTTGTCACTTGTGAAATTTCAAATGTGACGAAACTTGAGATTCAAAACTCTGTAATATGTTTAATGTTATGGGGGTCACCGGTGACCGGTGACGCCATTATTAGTAGAAATACATAATAGGAATAAATTTTACTAACATTGTTACTACAATGATGTGCAGAAATTAATAAATAAAACACCTATTAAAGTCATATTAAAACGCTCCAAACAAAGAAAAGGTAAACTAGTACAGTCATCACAATGTGTCACGACTTTTTTAGTACAATTTTGTGCAGTTATCCTTTCTAATGTCTTTGAATTTTTTTTCATAATGTGTTTTGCAAAATCATTGCGCAATTCTAGTTTTTTTCCAGCATTTTTTTCTCTGCTATTTTCATTCTAAAATCGAGAATTTGAATATTTATGCCAGTTACCAGTTCGAATATCATCGCGTTTGCAATGCATGTATTTAAGAACGAACATAATCACCATACGTTAGGTTCGTAGTAGATGGTTTTGGATTTGAGATATCGGTTTCATGGTTTACGATCGAGGAGACAAGGATTAGATTACCAGGTATTGGTACATATGGAATAGTGTGACCGAATGCCGTCATACGTTTCATTAAATTATACGTGCTCCGAGTACCGAAAACATAGGTCTTGTGGGACTCTGAATTTAGTATGGCAGGCATCGTATTAACCCTGTCATTCCAGCTGCAAATGTATCTCTGCGTAGCTACGCGTAGGTAGAATCGTCGAACAAAATACTGCTATCATCTAAATTCCCAAACACACGTGGGACCTTTTTAATTTCATTTAAATATGTAAAAATTTCAAATCTGTGAACGCGTATTAATTTCTTCTTTTTTTGTAGTATCTACATACGTATACACCGTCGATCATTTAGACTACGAGCGATAAATATTGCTGTAAATATAATAAAAATTTAGAAAATTATTAACACCCTTGAAATATTTCAGACGGATTTACGAACGAAACGCAAGACAAAGATTTTTTTCA